GCTACTGAGTCCGGCCTCCAGCGACCTGGGCTCCACCCTGACCTAACGGGGGACACTTCCAGCACTTCCCCGTTAAGGTGGGGTCTGCTGGAAATCTCTGCTGCGTGTTTTCAGAATATGAGAATTCTAACTGCAGCACTTTTCATCCTGAATAATACATACTGAGTGTTATCAACCTGTTACTACACCTGGTTTTCCTCTTCGGCTGTCCATGTAAATTACACTACGTTCTCTCATGTTGAATGTTTATTCCCGTTTAGATGCTGTTGAGCATGATGTCTTCATCTGGGTTCCCTTGACTTTTTCATCCCAGTGTTTGTACACATTATGCTCGGTGGCAGGAACTGGACCGTCATTTTCTGTTCCTGGGCCCCTTGCCAGGTTTTGATGCAGAGAAATCTAGTTTTATTCATCAGTCTACCGGGTCTCCTTACTCGGACCCCACCCTGAGCCTCCTGCCCCGGACACACCTGAGCCTCTCTGAGACCAGGGTCTCCCCGACAATGACATGAAGTCTACACGTCAGGGCTTCTCTTGGCGGCACAAAACAGCGGTGTGTCTTAAACTTCAGGACGCCTGAGACCAGCGAGCATGGGTCCTTCTAGTCACTTGTCTAGAGGCTCCAGGAGGCACAAAACAGCGGTGTGTCTTAAACTTCAGGACGCCTGAGACCAGCGAGCATGGGTCCTCCTAGTCACTGGTCTAGAGGCTCCAGGACAGGGCACCCAGGGGACGCCCAGCACACACTCTCCCCCAGCAGCTGAGTTGCCCTAAGCTCCGAGGCCAGTGACGCCTGTCGCTGGAAACTTGGGGAACCCGCCCCAGGGGGACTGCCCCGCCAGCACACCGACCACCCCCCAGTTGAGGCATCTCAGCACCCACAAGCTGAACCGCAGGCCGCTGTGAAGAAAGACATGAAAATAAAGATGTACTTTCCACCCAGCAAACAGCCGCTTTGCCCTTCCATCATCTCATGCTTCAGCCGACCAACTCCTACTAATAAAACTGGACCAAATACCAGTAACAAATACCAATGCAATGTAGAAGCTAAACCTCTAGGGATGACTTTGGTGGCAAGTGCTGAGAACCACTCATTTTAAAATGAGAATAAACAGTCAAATTTTGTCAAAGTTCTTTGCATGCGATTCGTTACTTTTCTGTAGGTATGTTCTACTTCAATTATTTAAAAAAGTACCAGAATAGTACTGTACACAATGAAAATTTAACACCTGGAATAAAAAAAGGCAAATGACAAATCATTTCTTACAAAATAAGAGACTCGAGAGATTTATCAGTTCAATTGGAGACAAATGGTTGAAAAAAAAACACTTTAAATTCAAGTCCTGGGACTTCCCTGGTGGTCCAGTGGTTCGGACTCCACACTTCCCCTGCAGGGGAGTTTGATCCCTGGTCGGAAAACTGGGATCCCACATACCACACAGCCAAAGTGAAACAAAATAAATGAATTTTAAAAAGGAATGTATGAAAAAACAAAAAAGGAAGGTATGGCTGGTTCATGCTGATGTCTGGCAGAAATCATCAGTTCAGTTCAGTAGCTCAGTCGTGTCTGACTCTTTGCGACCCCATGAACCACAGCATGCCAGGCCACCCTGTCCATCACCAACTCCCAGGGTCCACCCAAACCCATGTCCATCGAGTCGGTGATGCCATCCAACCATCTCATCCTCTGTCATCCCCTTCTCCTCCTACTTTCAATCTTTCTTTGAAGATTCAGGGTCTTTTCAAATGAGTCAGCTCTTTGCATCAGGTGGCCAAAGTATTGGAGTTTCAGCTTCAACCTCAGTCTTTCCAGTGAACACCCAGGACTGATCTCCTTTAGGATGGACTGGCTGGATCTCTTTGTTGTCCAAGGGACTCTCAAGAGTCTCCTCCAACACCACAGTTCAAAAGCAGCGATTCTTTGGTGCTCAGCTCTCTTCACAGTCCAAGTCTCATATCCATACAGGACTACTGGAAAAACCATAGCCTTGACTAGACAGAACTTTGTTGACAAAGTAACGTCTCTACTTTTTAATATGCTGTCTAGGTTGGTCATAACTTTCCTTCCAAGGAGAAAGTGTCTTTTAATTTCATGGCTGCAATCACCATCTGCAGTGATTTTGGAGCCCAGAAAAATAGTCAGCCACTGTTTCCCCATCTATTTGCCATGAAGTGATGGGACCGGATGCCATGATCTTAGTTTTCTGATTCTTGAGCTTTAAGCCAACAGTCAAGATTTTTAAACCAAGATCAATGCAAAGAAATAGAGGAAAACAATAGAATGGGAAAGACTAGAGATTGCTTCAAGAAAATTAGAGATACCAAGGGAACATTTCATGCAAAGATGGGCTCAATAAAGGACAGAAATGGTAGGGACCTAACAGAAGCAGAAGATATTAAGAAGAGGAGGCAAGAATACACAGAAGAACTGCACAAAAAAGATCTTCACGACCCAGATAATCACGATGGTGTGATCACTCACCTAGAGCCAGACATCCTGGAGTGAGAAGTCAAGTGGGCCTTTGGAAGCATCACTATGAACAAAGCTAGTGGAGGTGATGGAATTCCAGCTGAGCTATTTCAAATCCTGAAAGATGACGCTGTGAAAGTGCTGCACTCAATATGCCAACAAATTTGGAAAACTCAGCAGTGGCCACAGGGCTGGAAAAGGTGTTTTCATTCCAATCCCAAAGAAAAGGCAATGCCAAAGAATGTTCAAACTACCACACAATTGCACTCATCCCACACGCTAGTAAAGTAATGCTCAAGATTCTCCAAGCCAGGCTTCAGCAATAGGTGAACCATGAACTTCCAGATGTTCAAGCTGGTTTTAGAAAAGGCAGAGGAACCAGAGATCAAATTGCCAACATCCACTGGACCATCAAAAAAGCAAGAGAGTTCCAGAAAAACATCTATTTCTGCTTTAATGACTATGCCAAACCTTTGACTGTGTAGATCACAATAAACTGTGGAAAATTCTGAAAGAGATGGGAATACCTGACCACCTAAGCTGCCTCTTGAGAAACCTGTATGCAGGTCAGAAAGCAACAGTTAGAACTCGACATGGAACAACAGACTGGTTCCAAATAGGAAAAGGAGTACATCAAGGCTGTATATTGTCACCCTGCTTATTTAACTTATATGCAGAGTACATCATGAGAAATGCTGGGAGGAAGCACAAGCTGGAATCAAGATTGTAAAGGAAATTATCCTGTAATTAAAAATAAAAATTAAAAACTAAAGAAATGAATTGTCAGCTGAAAGAAAAAATGCACAAAGAAGAAAAAAAGTTGAGAATTAAGGGGAAAAAACAATCAAAGCCTCAATGCTTCAGCCTGCCTGGCACTGCTGCTGTCACCTCCCGGATGCTCACAAGCTTCCACAATGGGCCCCCAACCAGGATGAGTAAAGAACAGGCATCGTCTGGGGCATGCGAGTCCTCATCTCAAACCTTGGTCCCTGGAGTGGCATGCTTGTCAATTTAACCAGTCACACCACAGAACATTTCAAGCTGTAAGCATGGAACATGTGTACAGATAGATGCCCAACAGTACGTCTCAGCACCCCAACCCCAGGCAGGATGCTCGGGCTGAAACCTGTTCCCACGCAGCCTGGCCGAGTGCAGCCGAGACCCGTGGTGAAGGTACTTGAAGTTCCCGCTCACCAGAAGAAAACACACGCCCAGACACAAGCTTCCAAGTGTGTTAGCTTCCGACCTTTGTAACCACCAGTCTAGGCTTCACTTTCATGGGAAAGTTGGGTTTTATGGTGTTGCTATTTCTCGGTATCAGGAGCAACCCCAAACTCTCATGGCCAAGAAGGGCTCCCCTGAAACCACCTCTCACAAGTTACATCTTGGTGTGAGGACGTGGAGATCAGACTGTACGGTTTACTACACTTTATCATTCATTCCTGCTGAAATGGCGTTTCCTAGGTATTTAGGAAGTACCTTGGAAAACGGTAACTTGCTCTTTCTAAAGAAGAGAGAACACCACACAGACCTGTTTGCTGGCTGAGCACAGGATGGGGTAGGGAGCCAGGAGCCAAGCTTCTTCCTGGGGCAAGTTCCGGCCGAGACCTCACAGCCCACGACCTCAATGGGATCCACAGCTTGGGCCTTGGCATGGAGACCGCGAAAGAGAGAACGTGTAACATGACTCTGCTGGCATGGCCAGGCCCGTGGGGCGCAGCCTCGGACAGTCCCAACCTGAGGCCCGGCCTGGCGGGATGCCACCGTGAGGTGCCCGGCCCCCCACCCGCGCTGATGGACGTGGCTGTGACCCTGACGCAGAGCACAGCCCATCTGCCCCTCTGCCAGAAACTAAGGCCACGAACTGGGAGAGGAGCTGCTTCGAGGCCGCCCACGCCCGCTTCTCAGACGCCAACCTGCCTTTCACAAGTAGGTCGGCATCAATTACCAAAGGTTATCCGAGTTCATTTGAGCAGATTTTATTTCAGGTAACTTTTTCCCCGCCAAGTAACACCTCCAGTTTTAAGGAACAGACATACAACCTAGGGACTTCCCTGGCGGGCCAGGGGTTGGAACTCTGCTTCCACTGCAGGGGGTGTGAATTCAACCCCCAGTCGGGGAACTAGGATCCCTCAAGCTGTGCAGCCAAAAATAACAAAAGACAACACCAAAAAAAGAAAACGTGCAACCCAGATGTAAATTTGGAATTATGCTGCTTTTCCATGCGCCAGAGCAGAGAATGTAGTTTGGACCCAAACAGCCCAATAAGACATGGATCTGCAGTGACGCACAAGGTCAAAGGACACACGGGAAGACAGCCTTCGTCTGGCGTGTGCAAGCGTGTGTACAGATAAATTAATGCCTCTGCACGTGTATCTGTAAAGTAAGCGGCTCACTCACCCGTTTCACCTGAGCTGCAGGGATCCCAGGTCACAGCCAAGGACTCACACGCGAACCTCCTCACCTGGGTGGCGGGTCAGAACTCTGCAGGGCGAGGAAGGGATGCCCGGCCCTCCGCGGTAAGAACAAGATGAATGTGCAGCTGCCCCGGAGGGCGGAACATCTACAGGGCGAGTGCAGCCCAGTTCTAGGGGCAGAAGCGACGACTTCACCACCACAGCCAAGAGAGACCAAAATCCCGGCCGTGGGAACAGGTCTGACCCTTGCTGCGACGTGCAGAGGGCCTGAGGGGCACGTCCGGCCCCACGTCCCGAGCGCCGGCCAGGCTGAGCACCCAGGGGCCGTGGTGCGCGGGTCCTCACTGAGCTCAGCGGAGGGCACCCAGCATGGGAACAACCCCCACAACGCCCTGCAGCCAACTGACCGTGTCAGGAGACTGTTTGCGCAGAGGTTTGGCAGGCGTGCGACATCCAGCCAGGGGGCTGGAAGCACCTCTCGGTCTTCCCTGAAAACCTTCCACCTCCTCTGACTCCAGCAGGAGGACCACTGTGAAGGTGCTCAGAACATCAGGGGGTTCTGGCCTCATCAAGGAAGAGACTGGAAGGGCGTCTTCTCTTGATAAAAGGAGGGGAGTTAGCCAGAAACCACTGGCAACGTCTCCACAGTGCGGAGTGGGGACACTGACCCACATAACCAGCCATGACAACCTCACACAAACGTGGTCATAAAAAGCAAATTAGTTAATTACTTTATTACATTTTAGTGCTTTCTTAAAATAAATATAATAATATAATTATCAAACATACAGTGAGAAATAAAGCACACGTGTGAACAGCATGTAACAGGAAGTTCACTCAGCACTGGAGAAACCGCACAGGCCTACCTATTTACAGACGACCCAGCCGGGCAGGCCAAGGCCGCCGCGTCCCCTCCGTCCTCGTGGACACGGTCACTCCCCCCTTTATCGGAAATTACCAGTTTACGTGTCTTAACTTTTTCTCTCCGTCGAGCTTTAGTGTTTTTTTTTTCCTTTCTGCAGTTTTGAGATAGATTCAAGTAACACTCCCAAGAAAAAAAAAATATGTGCAAAACTAAGTAAGTGACTCCAGAATGTCCCGGCGGTCAGGTCAGCGGGTCAGTCGCATAGGCAGCGCGTGTGCAGGCCGGGCTGGAAGGTCTGGTCCCGAGAAGCACCGGGGGCTGGCAGGACCCCCAGGCCCACCGCCGGGGCGGGGCGGGGGGAGGACTGGAGCGTCCCGCAGACTTGTGGTTCCCGGACAGCTGCCAATGACCACTTTGTGTTTGAGTAGGCGACGTGACCAAACGCTCCGTCTACATGGAGAACCGCAAGCTCCCCAGAGGGCCCGGAAGCCAGGATCAGGACGGGACGAGTGAGGACGTGATAAAAACACTAGAAAGAACTGTCAGCTTAAGTGCATCATCACCTTTTTAAGAGAAACATGCTCAGAGTAAAAAATATTCTACTTTAGCAAAAAATCTGTCTTTATTAAAGTGAACAATCATGAGCACGCTACCCCCAACGTACCGGGCGAGGGCTGTTGGCTCGGCTCACCTGCCTCCAGCCGGCGGACGCCAACAGAGTACCGTGTGCGTCCCTCGTGACTGCTTGGCGGGAGAACCCTCCGCACTTGTAAACGTTATTCTAGCAGAAGACAGACTGCAGATTTCAGTGCTTTTAGTGAACTGCTATTTTCAGTAAACTTTTTCTGAGCAGCAATAAACAAGAATTTCTTTTCTTCTTTCAGAAATCTTAGAATTGGATATAAACGTTGGCAGTAGACACAATCAATAAATATTATACAATTTCTCAATGAAAACAACTCCCCACCATGAACTCCTTTCCTACAGACATTCAAACACCCTGACCCGAGACCAAGTCTCAGTCCTGTAATCCCGTGAGATCACAGCCAGCCAGCAAGAGTGGGGGGTCAGGTCATGTGCAAAAAGGGGTGAGGTGGGAGGCGAGGAAGCAAAGATCACTTTAATTTACACTGAAGAAGAACTTCAAGTAAAAGGACCCCGCTGCCGGCAGCTCTGGGACACGCCCTGGCCGGAAGCCTCCGTGCAGCGGGGACCAGGGCGACCGCTGGGACTGATAGGGCCGGTCTGCCCTGGGCTCCACCCGCCGTCCTGGTGCCAGGAGCTCAGGAAGGGGTTTTCTCTTGTCATCTAGAAGCCTCTTTGAAAAAGGTCTGTGATTCTGCACACTTCGTACCCAAAAGGAAAAAAGTAATAAATATCGACCCAGCCGGCGCGTCCGCAGACTCCGCCGCGCCGGGGTCATTTGCGAGTCTGCGTCTTCTTTGGCGCCGAGGGCCGCTTGGGCTGCCACAGGTGGTTGTGGATGGTGAGCGCGTCCACGCTGACCGACATGGTCTTGGCCGGGATGAGGCTGAACTGCTTCCGGTCCGAGCTGTACTTGTACAGCTTGTCAACCATCTTCTTGGCGATGCTCTTGGGGCCGGTGCCCGTCAATTTGCAGATCTCCTCGGTGTCGGGGTAGTAGCAGTAGAGAGCCCGGAACTGGCAGCCGGCATCCCGGAACAGAATGATGTAGTGGTTGGCATCACACTTCTCCAGCTCCTGCGGGCGGGGCAGACACGGAGCATGAGCCCCCCGCAGTCGGACCACGCGCCCACTGCCCACTAACCCGCCACCCCGGGGGCAAGCTCTCCAGGGGCAAGCTCTCCAGGAAACACGACGACACGGGGGTGGGAGGATCTGTTCGGTGGGGTGTCATCCGCCACCACCTGCCCAGGTCTTATGGAGTCTAAGTCTCCAGGGAAAACATCCCATGGCAAGATGCTCCATACCACGAGCCCCCGGGGAAAGGCAGACGGAAACCACGGCGGGGCAGCACCGCACACCCGCCAGGCTAGACGTGCTGGAGTGGGTGTGAGGGAACGGGCCCTGTTCCCCACTGCCAGAGGGGAGGGCAGCCATGCAAACGAGTTGGCAGCTGTTCAGAAGCTGGAACACCGAGTTACCACGTGACTTAGCAGCTCTTTTCTCAGGGATGTGATCCAGAGAAATTAAAACACGCATCCAGGTAAAGCTTGTGCACAGACGTTTCCAGCAGCATTATTCACAATAATCAAAGGCTAAAACCGCCCAGACATCCCTCAGCAGATGGACAGACAAGCCCCGGTCTGCATGGAAACGGGATGCTCTTCAGGCGTAGAAAGGACTGAAGCATCACAGTCGCTACCCCTCGGATGGACTTGACGACATCCTGCCAGTGAGAGACGCCGCCCAAGGTCCACCTTGGGATGAGCCCCTACATGTGACGCCACCGGGGGAGGCAAACGCTGAGGGGACCACAGAGCCGCGGGCCAGGGGAGCGGCCCCGGTCCAGGGTCCCTCTGGGGGGTGGTGCTGGTGTTGGACTGGCGCTGAATGCAGCCCTGGGAGGGCAGTCCTGACAGCCGCTATGGGGGCTTCATGCTGGGAGAAGCGTCCCTCGCCAAGGCCGTCACAGAAAGGTCCTGGAGCAGGGGTGACGACTGCTCCTTGTTACAGCGTCTGCCGCTACCGCGCTCTCAACCTTAGAACAGCATTACTGCAAAAACATGCTGCCTGGCGCCCCTCACACTCAAGAATGCTTAGCTTCCTACCCTGCAGCTCTCTGAGCCTGGTCCAGGTGCCGACACCCTCTGAGAGTCTCTGCTTACTGGGAGGACGCCTCCCCATCCCTCTCAGACCTTATCTGGGCCCCCAGCTGCCCTGTTCACTGGAGCTGTCCAGCGGCCACAGGACCCGCGGTCCGCGACAGACTGCACGAGCAGGCAGGGGAAGCCAGGAGCTAAAAAGATCCATGTAATGTAAAACAGTGCCCCTCCTCACTCTATTTTTGTTTTTAGAAAACATTTTTCACAAACAGACACTATTCTTCTCAGTATCTAACGGGCTTCCTATTATTTTAAATAAATCCACATATTTATAAAATTAACAGTAAAAGACAAACTCCCAAAGTGCAAGTTTCATACCGATTTCAACGATGTAAAAGCTGTGTCTAAACACGAGCCGAACTGGAGGCAGAGCAGTCTCCAGGTCCTCGTGCTGCGCCCCCAGCCTCACGTGGTCTGTCCCAGGATGGCAGCCCATGCGGCCACTCCCCGCAGAGGCCCTACAACCCTACAACCTCTGAGATAGCGAGCCCATGACCTCTGACCCTGAGCTCCCTGGCTCCAGCCCAAACTGGGGGATCAGTCCCACCTGGATCCTGGGGAGCCCCCAAACCTGCATGGCACCCCTCCCGACTCCAGGCCTCGGCTCAATGACCCCATCCAGTGAGACCCTGCTGGCTGACCAGCCTGCCAGAGCTGCCCTGGGCCCCATGCTGTCCCCTCCACTCTTTCCAGACCATTCATCACCGTATGACCTACAGCCCCAGTGAGAATCAGTCCAGCTGCTTTTGTGGACAGACTTCTAGAGGCCAGGCCGCCCTCCGGCCGGTCTGTGGCTGTCTGCACGCTGTGACGTCAGAGCCGAGCTGGCAGCACGTCCCGTGGGTGCCCACTACGGGGCCACCTCAGACCCGCTGACAGCTGAGGAGCTGGTGACCCGGGGTGGAGAGGAGCCCCGCCCCAACTGGGCTCCCAGCCAGAGCCTCCGTGAGGTTACAGGCACGCACCCAGTCCTAACCTGAACCTTCCGTCCAGACTGACCATCTGCTGAGGCCACCGCCACACACCATGAAGAGTGACTGAGGCCTGCGGCCCTGGCGAGGAAGCAGCAACAGGACACAGACGCCAGCGCTTCGCCCCAAAATTCCATTTCTCCAGCAGCCCCAGTGCAGAGCCGGGGCTCCCTCCTGTCTCCACCCCGACACTGTCTGTGACGCTCGAAGACCGCCCCCCCACTCAGCACCATGCAAAGTCTGCTGGCTTCCCTGTAAGAAGCCCCAGCCGCCTCCCGTTCCCTACCAGGGCACCTGCCCCAGGCCCCCACCCGACCCCAGTGCAGCTTCCGTCCTGCTGGTCTGAGTTCTGCTCTTTCGTGGAGCCGTGCTGCAAGTGAGGGCCAGGGCATGCCTGGAGGCGTGAGCAGACAGGACTGTGTGCCCTACACCTGACCACACGCATGTGAGACAGCGGCCTCTTCTGTCAGCCACAGGATTCTCCCGTCTAGGGAAAACCTTCATTCATAAATACCCTTCCTCTACATGAAAAGTTCGGTGTGAAACTTTGATACTCGCCTCCAATATTGAATTTTTGTGAGGTTCGTTCACTTTTCCTGCTAGACAGCAATGGGATATAGCGTTGTGAATGATTGGCTTGTTGGATTTGCTGCTGGGCTCCTTAAACAGCTTGGGACCTACGAGAAGCAGGCCAAGATGTGCAAAGTGAGTATTTGTGGCACGCGCGTGCACACACACGCACACACACACATACACGTGTGCACACGCGAAAAGCAACAATCTTATTAAACCAAGCAGCAGGCAGGCTGAATTAGGAGTGTTCTTAACTTTCTGAAAACACAAGCGTAACAGCCAGTTCAAATCTATGAGAGAACTCTAAGTTAAAGATTCTGAATAAACTAAGGAAAAGTTAAAAATAAGTGATAACTCACTCCCTTTCTAATTTCGGTTTCTCTGATACACAAAAAACACAAAGGCTGGAATTTAACTTTCTTTTAAAAGCCTGTGGTTCCCACGTGCCCAGGACACACAGTAAGCCATGAACGGGTGCAAGGCAAAGGCGCGCCCCTCCCGCGCCGGGCCGTCCCCGCAGGACGCGGCTGGGCGCCGTGCCCCCGAACGCAAGGCTGTCACCTGTGTACTCAGCCACGGAGGCAAGTGAGGACGCGGCCGACGCCGTCTCCCAGTCTCTGTCGGTGCTCCGGCTGGGGTTGCGGCTCAGCATGGGCAAGGCTTCCAGGGACTCGACTCTGCTGGGGAGGGGGGAGGGGGCGGGGGTGGGAGGGTGGCAGGCACACCACCTCTCCTCTCACCCGCGACAGGCACCGGCTGGTGGGACCCCAGCCCGAAACGGGCCAGGCTGCACCACCACCACAGGATGGCTGTCGGCCACAGCAGGAGGCTGGCAGCAGCAGCGGGGAGCATGGTCGGTCTGCCCCAGGAGAACACGGCAACAGGACACGAACCCACCCCCGGGGCAGCGAGGGACCTGGGCAGGGGAGGGCCACCCTCAGGCGGCACCGGGGAGCAGGGCATCACGCAGCCCCGCTGCTGTGAGAGCCCGGTGAGCAGGGCCCAGGCATCAGTGCCGCTGCCAGCAAGGGATGGACCTGGGGGAGGAAGGGCCTGGCGGGCAGAGTCCAAGTCCCAGGGGGTCTCAGGCCTCTCCGCTCCCCGGCGGCCTCAGCCGCCTCCACCGAGCAGGACACACTCATGCAAGGAGGTAGGTGTGGGCAAAACCTGAATTCAGCCCTGGTAACTGACCGCCTGAGCAGTTCTAACCGGAGGCCAGGGTCCCTGGGAGGTGTCAAGACGCCCCCGGAGGTGTGGCCAGGCAGGATAGCTACGGACCTGCCTGCCAGGAGGCCAGTGTGGAGGCAGCGTGGACAGAGATCTGTGGGGGCTGCTGAGGCCTGTGGGTAGTCAGAGCCATAGACAGGCTTCCCAGCACCACCTCCTCCTGATTTACTCCTTAATCACAAAGGGAAACACCAGGCCCGCAGGAACAGCACCTTAACCCATGTCAAGGTGACAGACACGACAGGCTGCCCTGAAAAACGCACAAGCCCCTCTCCGGGGCGCTCCTGCCAAAAACACACTGACTGGCTGGATCAGGGGAAACCTGCTGAGGGGCGGGCAGCAAAGCACCTGGCCCGTACCGGGCAGAGCGTCTAGCCCCGGGAAGACACAGGAGGGCGAGGGCCCATCCAAGGGGAGTGGGCACATGGGCTCAGAGAGACCGCGTCCCGCACTGGACTGGGCTCACGGAAGGACACTGATGACCGGCCATGGTGAGCGTGGGCTGCGGACCCAACGGCAGTGCGGGTCTATGACCATGGTGGTGAGAGGCAACACCCCTGCTCAGAGGACACGCGCTCTAAGGGTTTAAGGATAAAGAGGGTACCGTCAACCCACTCTTAGAAGGTCAGAAACGAACACATGTCCAGGGCTGGGAGAACACGGGGACACAGAAAGACAAACACAGGACTGTCTCAGCAGTGGGTGAGCCTGGGCGACAGGGATTAGCTCCTGTGGCGGCACTGCCACGGCTCTGAGCTGCCCCAGGGCCAGCCGGATGGCCCACCGCCCACATTGCACAGCACTCCCCGTGGCACCCCGCCTGCTCACCGCTGTGAAGGCGTGCCCCCCGAATGTACGCTCTCAGGCTCTGTGGTCGCTGCGGAGGCCAAGGACAGGCTGGAGCCCGACTGGGCCCGGCTCAGGTTATCAGCTGCTGGAGACAAGACGAGATGCGCTTCCGTGAGACACGCATCCCCCACACCAGCCGTCTGTGCGGGGGTGGGAAGGGCCGGCCCGCCATCTCTCAGCACCTGGGGACGCCAGCACTCGGCCCCAACTTCGGAGAACGGAAGTGAGAGCAGATAGCCGGAGGGGCGGCGGGGAGCGGAGGGGGCAGGGCCTGCACACCACCCCTGGCCCTGCTTACGGGGGGAGGCGCTCTTAGGACCTGGGTCGCTGCCCGGCTCCTCCCGGTGGACGGACTTGGGCCGCGGCTTCCTGGGCCTGGCCTTGGGCTTGCCCAGGCCCTGCTCCTCCAGGATCTGCTGCTGCTTCCGCCGCAGGTACTCCTGCTTGATCAGCTCCCGCCGTGCCTTCTCCTCCTCCTTGCGGATTCGGTCTTCCTCCGCTTTACGCCTGTGGGAAGGACCGGCCAGGGCGTCCTGCTCACGCCAGAGCCCAGCATCGGGGGGTGGGGGGGGAGGGTGTGTGACAGACCCAGCGGGCAGGCGCCTTGGTCACCTACCGCGCCTCGTCTCTCTTGAGCTCAACCTCTGCCTCCAGCTGCTGCCTCCGCACGCGGGCCTCCTCGGCCTTGCGCTGCTGCTTCAGGAGGAAGGCCGCCCGCTTCTTGGCGAGTTCGTCGTCCGCCTTCTGCTCGTCCTGCAAAACAGACGTCACCTATAAGCAGCCGGACAGACCCTCGCGGGACCCCCGGCACAGTCATGCCCCAGCCCCGCCCTGAACCTACAGACTGTACGCCTGCAGTCACCTATGAGCAGCTGGGACCGACCCTCAGAGGACCCCCGGCACCGTCAACCCTGACCCCGAGCTTAATGCACTGAGGACAGGAAATGTACAGTCCAGACGCTCCCTTACTCTTTTTAACTGAAGAAGGAGCACACCTTTAGACACGCTAAAATACAACCGGGAAACAAGCCGTGCCGTTCAAAAAGCATTCAGTGTACCGACACAGACTCTGTTTGCCTGAAAAACCACACACACGTTTCCACAACAGGAGCTAAAGTGTGTTTACAACTGAAGCGCACGAACGCCAAGCAGGGGCCGGCATCTCCTGACAGGACGGCCCTCACCACTCCATGGGTGTCAGCTGCCCCCGGGGGCCAGGACAGAGGAGATGCTCTCAAGACAGGGAGAAGTCTCACAGCTCACTGCCCTCTCCTCCTGAAGAAAAAGTTCCAAACTGTTTCCTGAAGCTTCTCCACCTGCCCAGACTGCAACAGGGAGAAGCCAACCTCAGCCCGAAGGCCAAATACCACCTGCTCTGCGGAGCCTTCGAACTAAGAGCACTTTTCCTTCTTACATGGTTCGAAAACCATCACAAGAAAAGCACCTTGAGACACACGAGAACCACACACAGCTCCTGTTTCAGGCCCGAGAAGCAGCTCTGCTGGTGCGTGGCCAGCTGCTCTGGGAACACTGGGCAGCCAGGAGGCCGCACGCGTTCCGCTGCCCCCCGCCCCCCCAACAACCGTAGCCTCTGCAGCAGCGGCTCCGCAAGACCAGGTGGGTGATGGCCCGCCCACCACGGGGCGTGGATGCCGCCAACCTTTACCTTGAAGAAGAAGCCGACCCCCGGCTTCTGGTCCCCCTCGCTGCCGAGGTCCACAGAGCTGTCCCGGCCTTCCGTCTCCCCATCCTCGTTGGGGGCCTTCAGGTCAGAAAGGTCCACCTCGATGAGGCTGGCCTTGCTGCGCGGGGGCTCATCCAGCGGCACGTTCTCTTTCCCGGGCACGGTCAGCGTGCTGAGCGCCGCCTCCTTCACGCTGCCTTCCAGCCCCTCCCTGAAGCCCCCCTGCTCGGAAAGGACGTTGGCGTCTCGGGAGGACGACAGGGCGAGCATCCGCTGGTTGCTCTCATCGTGCAGTCGGTAGCTGTCGAAGACACACTTCTCTGCAGGCTCGCTCCCAGGCTCACCAAGCCCATCCCAGCCTGGCTCAGGGGGTGTCCGGGGAGGGAAGGACCGCAAGTGTGGGGTGGTCTCGAGGCCAGGGGTGGGAGTCTTGCTCCGGGAGGAACCCTGCTGCCGCTCCTTCGGCACCTTCAGCTCAGCCGGTCTCCCCGACCGGGCGTTCCGGCCCTGACCGAGGCGAGGGGGCTTGCGGTGACTGGTCAGGGCCGTCGGAGAGGGTGGCTCGCCAAAGTGGATGGCCGCCTTGGCCTTGGGGTCCTGGGAGCCGTTGCGGGGCCCAGGTGAGGGCACGGTGGGGGACTTAAGCAGCAGCTGCTCCTGCTGCTGAGAGATCCTGAGGATGGCCTGCTGCAGTGTGCTGATGGTCTCGTTCAGCTTCTCAATGGACAGGTCGCACTCGCCCACGTCCACGCCCTCAGCGTCCTCCAGGAGCACCGCTGACAGCGCTTTGCCACGCTCCAGCTCGGTGAGGCCGGTTGGGTCCCGGGCTTTATGTGGCTGGATGAGGGCCAAGCCCTCACCGTCCACGTCCGGAGACCCCAGCAGCGCTCCCCGGCCTTCCTCCTTGCTGAGGAAGTCATCCCCGTTGTGCTGGGCATGCTCCCCCGCGAGGGGCCCTGCTTTCAGTGGCTGTGGGGCGGCGTCGGCCCGGCCCTTCTTAACCACGTGCAGGAACGCCGCCTTGCCCAGCTGCAGCCGCTGTCGCGCTGACAGCGCCTCCACCTTCTTCTTCTGCGCCTCGATGGCCCTGCGCTTCTCTTCCAGCTGCATGTGCAGCTGCACCAGCTCGGAGGCCAGCAGGCTGGCGTGGTCCCCGCCTGGCCGGCTCGGGCTCTGCTCCCGCTTTTGTTTCCACGTGGTCAGCGGGGCCGGGCCGCTCTCCGAGGCGTCAGGCGTGGTCTTCTGGGAGCTGCTCGTGCTCGACTTGGTCTCACAGCTGTTGAGCCGCTGGAGCTTCCTCTCGGCAAAGCTGGTCATCTTCACGCTACCGCTGGCCATGGACACGCTGCTGATCTGGGAGACAGTGCTCAGGCATGGGCTGGAGCGGCCACTGGCGTCATCCTTGTCCTCGTGCTCCTTTACCTTCAGGTCCTCCTGCAGCTTCGCGGACTCCTCCTCCCCGCCGTACCCGGCTCTCGCCGCGGGGTGGTCCTCGCCAGCAAAGTCCTGCTCGGCCTCGTCCAGGTCTGCAACGTCCGAGTCAGAGTCCTGCCGCAAGACAGCCCAGGTGTCTGGGCCGAGGGCGCCGGGGCTCCGTGCGCAGCTCATGTAGAGCCTGCCCTCTGCGTCCTTGTCGGCTCTGCCTACGTGAAGGAAGAAGCCGTCGGCGGACTGTCCCTGAGATGACGGGTCAAAACCGCTGCCAGCCAGAGGCCCGCCATGTGTGTCCCCCGCCACCTGGGGCCCCACCTCAGCGGGCATGGCGTCAAAGCCTGCAGAAATCTCTGAACAGGCGATGGGGGTGAAAGTCCTGTTCAAGTCCCGAGCGACGTGACTACTGGGCACCTTCTTTCGTCCCAGAGGCTGGTGGCCATCGCCAGACCTCCTGGACGTGAAGGCCCGGGGCCGCCCCTCTCCACATTCGTCCTCCTTGGTGACCACCTGCTTCTCCTTGGCTGGCCTGAGCACGGCCGGCATCAACGGCTCCAGGAAGAAGCTGTCGGGCTTACTTTCAAAGGCGTCCGCTAGCCTCTGGGGAGACCTGGCACCGGCCGTCAGGCCAGGGTCACCGCCCGGGTGAGCCACGTCCGTCCTCACGATGGCCAGGAGCTCCTCGTCTTCGTCCTCGATGTCAACGTTGCTCAGGAGGCTCCTCCCGTCGGTCCTGAGGGCTGCGGGCTGGGGCTGGTTTTGCGGTGTCAGGTGAATGACGCTGGAGGCCAGGCTGTCCTTGCTGATGGAGCGGGCCAGGCTGACGCTGTCACCACCGCCGGGGTCCTCACAGCTCGCAGTGTGGTGGAGGGCGAAGGGCGCCGGCTGAGACGCAGGCCTGCAACGTGGGGAGAGAGGCCATCAGACATGTCATGGCTCCGCGAGAGGCTCATGAGTGACGAGAACACGAGTCACGAGAGAATCCTACTCTTACACTCAGGACGCGGAAACAACTCTCTCCTGAGCAAAGGAAAACCAGGGGTCTTTCAGCTCAGCAACCCTCAGACACTCTGGCCCAGCCCCCCATAACCACGCTGAGGATCCCAACAAGCTCTCACAGATTCGTCAATAAGAGTCCATAGGTATCACCCCAGGAATCTGCGCTGAGACGTTTTGAAAATGATTAAAAATGCCAGTAAGAAATCCATTACATGAGCTGTGGCCATGTTTTCTAAAACAAGCCAGGGCAACGTATAAGGAGCAGCCTCAGTTGTGTCCCCGGCTGGATTCTCGGATCTGACCGAGTCAAGCTGCTGTGACCCCACACTGCCCAGGGTCTCCGAATGGAGGAAGCAGCAGCATCGCTACAGACATATTCTGAGGTCCCTGGACCACACCTGGGGCACCGCTCTGTTAGACTAACCAACATTTTCTGCAGAAACGTGTTTGAAACATGGACAGGTCACCTGTTCTTTTTCTCTGTCCATGCCATGGCTGCTCCTCGGGGCTGACTGTCGGCTCGGGTTAAGGAGTTGGATCGGTGTCGCTGGTCTGTGGTTTGGAGAAAACAGTGATGAGCTCAGCTTTAAGTAACCAGTTTTATATCACTTGAAATTCCTTCATTATAATAACCACTTCTCAAGGAAATGCATTATAACTCAGCATACCAAAACTGCTTAGGAAAGTAAATAGTCCCAATACAATTTTCCAGTTTCGATAATAGGTAATGCATGACTCAGTCTGGGTCACAAAATCATGACAATGTCAATTACATGGCAATATCAATAAATAATGGGCTTCCCTGGTGGCTCAGCTGGGAAAGAATCTGCCTGCAATGCAGGAGACCCCAGTTCAATTCCTGGGCTGGGAAGATCCTCTGGAGAAGGGATCGGCTCCCCACTCCCGTATTCTTGGGCTTCCCTGGTGGCTCAGCTGGGAAAGAATCCGACTGCAACGCGGGAGATCTGGGTTCCATCCCTGGGTTGGGAAGATCCCCTGGAGAATGGAACGATTACCCACTCCAGTATTCTGGCCTGGAGAATTCCATGGACTGTATATAGTCCATGGGGTTGCAAAGAGTTGGACAGGACTAAGTGATTTTCACTTTCACTTTTATCAATAAATGATGTCAATGTCAATTAAAAGAACCAGTGAATGTCAAAGTGTAAGTTTCTGACACGATGTGATGCCATGCTTTATGTAATTCGTTAGGTTTAATATGGTCACTGTAAAGACTATAAATTCTAAGGTACACCAATAAAAAGCAAACAGCATTCTGCCAGTCTTAACCAACAGCACTACATCATGTTGAATCAGCTTACTTTGAAACCATGGTTTAATGACCCCCATGGAGAGGGATGGGGGCGGCAGGTGGAGGGAGGCGGGGCAGCAGGCGGCGGGGGCGGGGCAGCAGGCGGCAGGCGGCTGGGCCGGGGCTTCTTACCTGGAGGGTCCTCTCCCTGCACCGTCTTCTGCTGCTTCTGTCTCAGTGGCAGTAAAGGGTGTGATGGGCTAAAAGCAGAGGCTCCCTTCCCCCTAAACAGAGGGGATGGGAGAGAAAAATCACCAGCTGCCGATCTTCAAGTTCAAAAACAGACTAGCATGAATTCATACCGAGCTGCAAAAGATTCACCGACTCCCTGGGAAAATTGATCACTGTAAACATGAACCCCAAAAGTACCAAGAACATCAAGAACTCAAACTCAGATAAATATCCAGACAGCAGTTCGGAGACACACTGACCTCTGGTCATGGCCTGTAAGACAAGAGGCTTCAAGTTTCCACAGCAAATTCAAGTTCTCGTTGCGGCTACCCTGCTCACCTGGGCGGGGCGCAGCACCCACAGAGGAGGTCCTCGCTACTGACTCCCTGCAGCTTCCCATCGCCCAGAGGAAAGGTGACCCCACCGGGAACAGCATATGGGCAGGAGTGGGCGGGGGGCGGACTTACAGGGCCTCGGGCTCCCCGAGCTGCAGGTGGTGCGGCGGGGCGGGGGGCTGCGGGTCGGCTGGGCTCGCCGCCGCGGGGCCGCCCAGGAAGCTGCGCTTGGTGGCGTTGGAGATGGGAACTGGGGGCCGGCTGCTTTTGGGGTGTGACACTGATTTAGCTGCAGAAACAATTTTATAGGAATAGTCTTGTTATTTACCACTACTTACAACACTAGCCAGAAGAATCTTTTTTTAAAAAAATCCATTTTTATAAGTACTAAAAACAAAACTCTTACATGAAACCAAACTTCTCAAAAAAAAAAAAAAAACTGGTTTCAAGGTCATTAGGCATATTCTGTAATGAATAAAACAAATATTTTACCCAAATAAGTACTAAAATCAAAAAACCCAAGCCAGACTAGGCCAGCAAGCACTGGCGTGGGAAGGGCGCACGGACCCCTAACACACAGCCTCCTCCCTAGGCCCGTGGACAGAGCCAATCAGGACACCCTGCGGCCAAACCCTCAGAAGGCAGCTGGTCAGCTGGGCTCAGCCTGTGACCGAGCGCCTCGGTGGTCACTGCACCTCAAGCCCCCATGGGCTCAGGGTGGAGGTCAGGCCCAGCCTGAAACTGCTCACAGAACACTGGTCCAACAATGACAGTCCTGGTGGCCAGACCTCGACTCTGGAAGCAGACTGCTCACAGTCTGTTAAACTCCCTGGTACTCCCAGAGAAAGCCCTGATTAAACCCCACTGCTGCATAAAGGCAGGGGCCTGGAAGCACACCTGAGCACTCTTATTTACGGGAGTTTGCCACTCACCATCCTTCAGTTCCTGAACATCCCTGGGCTGAACAAAATCTGGTTTGACGTTCTCAAACCACCAGAATAGCTCGGCAATAAAAACCATAACATTTGGCTACAAGAAAAAACAAGAGAAATCAAGGACACAGTAAATAGCTTATTTCCACGTGGTTTTAAAAATGTGCTTTTGATAACTGATTATTACCTTCAACACTAAAGGAGCATACAGCATATCTTCTAGGGTGAGATAAAAGCATTTGTTAAGATATTCATTGGAGAATTCTCTCAGAAGCCGAATGTTATACAAACTGTCAGCCATCGACGTCACCTCCTTCAAGCATATATCTAACAGATAAAAAGGAAACTACAATTTATTATAAAGATATGCTGTTTTATGATGTGCAGGCATACAGATCCATGTGAGCATATATAGACACAATTTTCAATTGAAAAAAATTTTAAATGAAGATAGAGGTGACATTTAAAAACGTAAAAAGCATTATTAAACATCACAAGTGGTTATCAGTAATGCTAAATATAGAAAGAAAACACACAGAAAAAGATAGGAAAAATCTCCAGGACCTGAATTTTAACTGTTAATATCTAAAAAGTATAGAGAAATGACTTGAACTCTTAACACAGGGTTTCCAGCATGAACTGTGACAATCTCCTTTCAGTTTATAAAGACCTGTGCACATTTAACCAAGCTTCTCCCCCAAGTCCTTCCAATGACACTATCTCCATGGGTGGGAGAGGGGAGCATAAAACGGGAAATGTCAGCCTTGTCCTGAGAAAATATACGGGACACTGCTAATCACAGAAGTCAGGAGCCCTGCAGAGCACGGTCTCCGTCTGCTGGCTGTCTGCACCCAGAGCAGGACCACTCTTCCATTTCATGCTGCTCCGCAGGACGCCAGACCGCCAGCCAGAAAATCCCAGCACGGACGCCCATGCTGGGCCACTGAACAGGCTACTGAGGGGCGTGGGCCCACCCCCCGGAGCAACCGGAACACCCAGATACCACCCAAGGCTAAACTAGAGGTGGCGGTACTGACGACTTTAATCTGCCTGTGAACAAATACACAGACAGGATTGAGAAACTTACTTTAAAGTAACTTTACTCCTAAGAAGTCATTTCCAAAGATGTAGTAAAGTCTCATGCACAAATGGGATTTATGTTCGAACTCTGTCCTACGTGGCAATGCCCTAGCACTGTGAATTCTCAAGAGAAAACTTTCATTGAGTAGTGTGCACAATTATATTGCTAAGAAATGTTCCGTTTACTCTAAAACTCAAGATTGTGAAACATTACAGATATAAATATCAGACTCCCAGCTACCCTCCACCAAGTGAACAAATGTTAACATTGTCCCTTCTCTTATTCAGATCTTATTTTCTCTCAGTAAGCACCCAGTGCTGACCCACCTTTCCCCAAGGCAGCACCCTCTAAGCCCTGGGACCTGTCGCATGCAGCGTCTGCATCACGTGAGGCCTGCCCCATGAATCATGGACACAGTGCACTGCAACCTGGCTGAATGCAGACAGACAGCACTCACGACGACAAGCCATGCCTAGCAGGTGGCAGCCTATTATTTCCCCCAGACCCAGAATTATGTCTCAAAAGTTCTATGCTGATGTGAGCAGATTTTGTCATTCATTTCAACAGCTGTACTTGTTGTTGTTCAGCCACTAAGTCATGTCCAACTCTTTTCAACCCCATGGACTGTAGCCTGCCAGGCTCCTCTATTCTCCACCACCTCCTGGAATTTGTGCAAACTCATGTCCATTAGGTCGGTGATGCTATCTAACCATCTCATCCTCTACCACCGCCTTCTTCTTTTGTCTTCAATCTTTCCTACTATCAGGGTCTTTTCCCACAATGGTATTCCCATCTCTTAAGAGGTTTCCACAATTTCCCAATGGCTATACAGGATTCAGGGTTTCCCTTGTGGCTCAGCTGGTAAAGAATCCGCCTGCAACACGGGAGACCTGGGTTCGATCCCTGGGTTGGGAAGATCCCCTGGAGAAGGGAAAGGCTACCCACTCCAGTATTCTGGCCTGGAGAATTCCACAGACTGTGTATAGTTCATGGGGTTGCAAAGAGTCAGATACGAGAGCAACCTTCACGTTCACTTAGGATTCCACAATTTCTATTATGAAAAACCAAACTTGCATGCTTTCTTCATCGGGAACCCTTCCAGAAGGGGTCACAAGCTACGCTGCTCACACCTGGCCCTGGCCTGTCCACACCCCAGCCTGCCCATGGCTTCTGGCCCCTCCCTGCACTGGGCCGTGTGCTCGCCTGGACCACCTCTTCTTCAAAAAGCCTGCTCTTACTTCCCCTCGGATTCTTCAAATCCTAATGATTTGTCAGAATTCTTTGTGTATGCTGGTTAAAAAACAACAGTGTGGCAACCCCTTGTCAATTTATATTTATTTCAAACATTTTTTTGTGGGCATATTTTAATCACTCAGTTTTATGATATTCCTCTGTCACCACAGTAAATTTTACACAGTTAAATGTAGGAATCTTCTCTATTACTTGTGATATTCTATAATTTAAATAATCCATCCCAGTACCAATGTTATAACAATATTTTCCTATTTTATTCCCCAAGTTTTTCAATTTTGCTTTTCTACCCTTGTGTCTTCCGTCCAAGGCATGGTGTCTGGCACATGTGGGGTGGGGTCCCACTGCATTCACCCCTCACAGGGGGTGCGCCCCCAGTCTGTGCTGGCCACCCCCCCAACCCGACAGGCTGTGGGCCACGCCAGGCGCCAGGTTCCCATAGAGCATCGGCCTGCACCCCTCTGCCCATCTCCCCGTGCTCAGCTGAGGCAAAGGGAAACAGAGAAGTCTGGGACAATCAAAGCGACAGAACACTGAATGGGTCAGTGTGCCGAATGAAGCAAGAATCCACGAAGCCCTCCTGACACAGGAGACCGGCCCCCGGCACTGCAACGCCGGCTCGCCAGGAATTCCCAGCCGACGACCGCGCTGGGGTTAAAAGCGTGACCAGGAGCCCAATGTCCATGCAGCCCAGTCACCCGTCAGTCGTAAAGCAAAGAGCAGTGGCGTCAAAGGCGAAAGGCCAGCACCCAGGGACGGCGGCGTGTCCCGGACACAGCACCCCAGGCAGTGCGGCTGGCGACACTGGGCCCCGACTCCCACTGGGAGGGAAGGCCCGGACCCCTCCTCTCACGCCCTGCCCCTGGTGCTGGGGGCGTCAGTTCCGGGGGCTCCCCGGGCTCTCGCTCGGCCTCCCACACCAGGGGTCACGGCCCCCAGGGCGGAACCTGCAGCTCAGCCTGACTCCTCCCCACGCTCAATGATTCCTGACGAGCAGAGACAGAAGGCTACTACTCTTCATTCTCTTTCCCTCAGCTTTTTTGGGTTTATTTCTCTATTATTATCAAATGCACTAGATCAACCTGGCATACTGATTTTTAAACTCCTTGCTCTGCAGGACATGCACTGAGGCGACAGTTCAGTCGCTCAGTTGTGTCCAACTCTTGTCAACCCCATGGACTGCAGCATGCCAGGCCTCCCTGTTCATCACCAACTCCCAGAGTTTACTCAGACTCATGTCCATCGAGTCACTGATGCCATCCAACCACCTCATCCTCTGTTGTCCCCTTCTCGTCCTGCCCTCAATCTTTCCCAGCATCAGGGCTTTTCCAATGAATCAGCTCTTCACATCAGGTGGCCAAAGAACTGGAGCTGAGGCAACAAGTCTCCCTTTAAGCCATCTGAGCCACGGCCCATGCATTCAGGCACGTATGTCACTCATTTATCCCACAAATACCTACCAGACACCAGTTTGTCCCAGACACCAATGGGGTGTGTTAGTGAGCTGAACGGATGAAGACACCTGCTCTTGGTGAGCCCCCACTAGGAAATCCCGCTGTGACTCCAAGTTAGATCATGAAATGTTTTAGAGTAAGTTCTTTGGTTTCCACACATTCAAGATTTCCACAGTCTGGAGAAAGACACTGCACGTTTCTGTTACTGATTTCCCGTTTTACCATGTTGTGACGAAATCTGTCGTGGTTTCTCCTGTGGCCTTAATCAAGCCCGGACTTGTAAACGCCTTATTCCATTCTCATCTAAGAGGGCAGGTTCCCTGTGAGCTGGTGCCCTGGGCCCGGCCTGCGCCCGTGTGCTCGAGTCCCCTCCAGCCTCCTGGCCCCATCTGTGTCATCAGTCGGTCTTACAAGTTAGGTCACAAGTGTGCCTCCGGTCATCTCACCCTGTGTCGCTTTTAAAACCCCATTCTTAAGTTCTGCTACAGACGCAGTGAGCCTCGACTCTCTCCTACGGGCTTGATTCATCCGCACCACAGACTCTCTGTTCCTAGTACCTCTTTGTGTCTCCAGAGCCCAGTGGAGAGGTGAGAAGCAGGCTGGACAAAACCAAAGTCAGAACTACTAAACCAGTGAGGCAGAACTCCTACGAGGCAGCTGTAGGAGGTGCCGAGGTCCAGGGAGACCCCGCACACATGAGCGTGCCACTCCAGTCTCTCCCCCGAAGTCTTCATGGTGAACACTGTGCGCTTCATCAGATGTCCGTCTGCACAAGTCTGTCTGCTGTACCCACCAGCCTGCGGCCTGCTGCCTTCCTGCGGGGGTGGGGGCAGGGGTCCGCCGATGGCCGCACTCCCGCACTCCAAGTGACACCCACAAGTCTCCTGAGTCCTGACTCCAACTCATGTAAACTCACTGCACACCTGCCTCCTCCCCACCCAGGATGCAGCCTGGTGGCCCACTTCCCCCTGAAAGATCCCCCTCAGTCCCGGGCCTGGGCATCCGACAGGCCTCCTGGTTTTGTCCCGCTGGCAGGGGGTGCTCCCCAGTCCTCCCAGGGCACTGGTCACAGCTCCCATGGCAGGAGGCCTAGGCCACACAAGCACAGAGACCTAGAGGCCCAGGGCAATCAGGTGCCAATTCCGAGATTTTCACTAAAGACGGAGATCCCTCCCGGAACCTGAGACTCCCCCTCTCTTTCAAAGTCACCTGTGTGTTTTAGAAACTACCAAGCCCAGCACGTCTGCACCTGGATCGGGGTGGGACCATGGTCAGCCCTTTGCCAGCCACGAGCCTGGCAGACACACCCTGTGCAGCCTGTGGTCAGGGCATCTGTGGAATTCACGCCCCGCCCCGCCCCACATCAGAGGAGGGCTCAAGGCAAACCCACATCAGCACCCCGTTCCTGCCTGTGCCGCTCGGGGCATCACTTATGCTGCTCCCCACGGCCCAGTGACGCCGCCAACGGCAGGCCTGCAGGCACCCCCCCACCCCCCCGCTGGTGTGTCCACAGGCTGCATTCTGCACTTGTTTTCCCAAACCACATTCAGGACGCTTTACCTCGACTGGAGTGGGGCTGATCGGCTCTTAGCCGTCCCAAGACGTCAGTCCGGTCACTGATAGGGAACACGCTACCATATATGTCCCACCCCCTGCCCCCCAACCAAGGACAACGCAGGCCAAGCCCAGGCATGCTGTCGGCCAGATCTACACGTCCACACGCTGCCCCAGCGGGCACCAAGGACTCAGGGCTACCCCCGCCTGCTTCATCGTCTACACCAGCGATCTGCACACCCTCCAGCCCCCTGGGTCCCCTCAAGAGGCGCAGGCCACACTCACCGTCCAGCTTCATCTGCTCCGGGCAGTAGTAGTGGACCACGGCCAGGAGCGCCGCCCCGTGGCTGCCATCCCGCATCAGGTCCTCCAGCAGTGGGAAGTGGGGCGGCTGCCGTGCGGACAGGTGCTCTCGGCGGTAGCGCACCTGCGGGAGGGAGAGGACCCGGTCACCGCGCGGCGCCGGCGCTCAGCCAGCATCCATGGCAGCTGGCCAGACCACGGCCAGAACAACAGCAGCCACGCGGGAAAGCCTCGCGGTCTGGGTTATACCCTCTGCCTGGAACATGCGTCCAGACCCAGGGAACTGTGCTTCTTGGCCACAGCGGGCGACCGCGGTGAGCTGCTCAGGACACCAGGGCCGTCTCACTCTGAGGGCCAGGCACCCCGGGGAAGGAGGCAGGACACATGTCTACGTTGCCAGGGGCTGCACACGGTCCACGGATGAGAAACAAGTTATGTGGTGAATGCCCTACGCCAGGAAGACCCACATTACTGGTCTTTCTCAGAACCAGCAGCACACACCTCGGCATTATTAAAAACACAAGGCAGCATTCACACGGAGTTTGGGAAACTTCCAAAACCAGCTTAGACAAAAAGTCGTCTGATCCATCCTCCAGCCCCTCAGATAAGTGCACGGGCACGTGGGGAATCTGAAGGCACGTGAAGTGCTATAAAAAAAGGCATTTCTTCCAAGGTTTCTGTGCCGCTGTGTTTATATGGACAGGAAACAAGTGCTCAGGGCGGAGTCTCCCCCGCCCGCAGGGGCCGCCCTGTACCTGGGCCTCACTCAGAGAGTGGACACACAGGCCGCCGGGTGACCACGTCCTGTGGTGTAGGTAAGCCTGGCATTTTTGCGGCCACGCTTTCCCCAGGGTAGGAGAGCACAGTGCTGGCTCGAGGAACAAGGCCCGTGCTGATTTCCGGAGCCGCATGGGAGAGTCAATCAACCCAAAGGAAACGCCCCCAGCAGCAACCCCGGAGTGCCAGCACCAGGCAGTCAGCAGCGGCGTGTGCACCGAAGATGCCCCACCTGGGCCCGTGCGATGCACACCACTCCCACCAGTCTCCACGAGGACTTTTAACTTGTTTCTCGGCCTGGTGCAGGCTCCCGCCCAGGGCCAGGCCCAGGGGCTCCCGCGTGCAGCCCGAGGCTTGCGCCCAACCAGCCTCCACACGCGCACACACACACACAGACACACAGCACACGGCAGAGCACAGCATGCAGGAAAGCGGATGGTTTCTCGCCCAGGACGGATGGTATGCGTCTGCGTTGGGGAAAGCGCTGACCCCTTGGGTCCGGGAGCCGGCACCGCCCCTCGAGGGGGCCCCACTCCCAGCCCCGGGCCCACTCGCTCGGGCAGCCGAGGGGACCGACCACCTGGGAGAAGACCCCGAGGGCTCTGCTTCTGGCCATGTCTCCCAGTGAGGCCCTTGTCTCGTCTGACACCCTCCTTCCGGAGGACCTTCACGCCTGACTGTCCTCACTACGCCTCGGATCTGCTTTCACAGGTCGCTCTCTGGCCTTTGGTTTCCAGCAAGTTAAGAGATATGCAAACACTCAAAAGAAAAAAAAATTTGGCCTTTCCCTTCTTTGTGATTATTACATTTCAAAGAAGCAAAATTATCCATCAGCCACAAAGTGGACTCTGTCACTGTTCATGCACATCCCACTGACAGTTTATATCTATCGTATCTCCTTTATAGTCGAATCCTAAGGACCATTTGATCCAAACAATTAAACTAAAGGGAAAGGCAAAAATAAGGAAGCTTCAAAAAGATTTGTTCTGCAGAACTTCATTTCAAAGAGCACCACTTGGAGCACCAAGTATTTGTCTGTGGGAAACGGTGTAACAAAACATGTCCATTTCCAGAACAGTCACTGGTGGACCACGCCACCAGGAAGAACAAATCCAAGGGTCACTCGGCAAATCATGCCACGGGCCATTCCTGCCAGAATCTATAAGGGAATGGATCCTGTCGCTGACCCTGAAGTTCATCACAGAAAGCATGAAACTACCTCTTCAAAGGAGAAACATGAAGCTGTCTGTCAAGTTCACCTAAAAAAGCGGGCACACCGCGCTCTGGGTGGTGGCTACAGCAGGCCTCCCTGGAGCGGAGAGGGCCCGTCCCGGTCCACCCTGCCCAGAACCGGGCCAGCCCTGCCCCGCAGGAAGTGCAGCAGACCACCAGGGAGGACACGCAAACAGAGACACAGTCACGAGCGACTTGAAATGGAAGCAGGTGATGGCGGCGGACGGCCGTCTGCGCGCAGGGTCCACTTACGGGCACTAACTTCCAGTACCACTTGGAGGGAGACTGCTCAGGAGGCGAGGGAAAGAAGGCAGGAGAGGAGTCAGCAGGCAGGTCCGCTGAGGACGGACGAGACACACTCCACACGCCACGCTCACACGGGAGGTGTGCCGCCTCCGCAAGGCGAGCTGTGTCCAACGCACGTGGCCCGGGGCGCTCTGCACTAGCAGGGGACCCAGGGGACCACAGGCACCCCCGCGACTCTAGCCTCTGGGGGCGAGCGGACAGGGCCCCCCAGAGGACACGCGCCAAGCCCACTCAGAGAGGGCCTCGGCAAGCCGCCTGCACCTGTCTGAGGGGGCTCACGGAGGCCTGGCTGGGCTGAGGGACCCGCGGACAGCACCCCCGGGGCCCAGGAGGGAGCGAGTGGAGGCTCCCTCGACCTGCAGCCCCGGCCAGCCACGGTGTGCACACGCAGAGGAACATGGACTCAGTCACACACACACGTGGCCACCCCACCCCCCAAAACAGGGACAAACAGGATGGAGGTGTGTCGTTTCACTGGACACAGGACCCTTACCCTCCTGAACACACTGGACGCATGGCCCACGAGGGCCCCGAGGGGACTTCTGGCTGCCAGGAACATCCCCTTCTGTGCGGACTCCCTTCGGGTGATCCTGCACCCCCAGTGACCCTTACGCCCTCCCTCTGCTCCCCCACCCTCCCAAGTTCAAGTTCAATACTAGACCACCCCTGCCTGGAAGAAAGGACAACGGGCTGCCGAGCCCCTGCCGCCAGGACAGGGCCCCAGGGCACCCACTCCCTGCCTGGCGAGTGAAACGGAAGAACAAGCAGGGAGCCCACACAGACACAATTCTCTACAATCAGGAGCAACAGAACATTCCAGAGAAGTGAAATCTACCCTTTACCTTTTGATGAGCTGGACTTTCCAATAACTGCTGTTTTAACTTAACTTCTTTCTCTGTTATCTCTCTCATTTTAAGATTTACCTAAAGCGGAAGAAATCAAATGCATTAGGAAGGCAATTGAGACTGATTTCCAACACTGGGGTGTATGTCCCTCCTCCACGACCCAGACCTCACCTCGGCTGTGTGAACTCTCTCAGATGCAGGTGACACAGGTGCCGTGACCTATGACTCTGACCCCGTGACCCTTGACACAGAGAAGGAGGAAGGGCCTGGCACGCCATGGTGCCTGTGAGCTGCTCCCCGCCTCATCGCAGAGCACCCTGGGGGCTCAGGCAGCACAAGGTCACCGCCACCATCACCAAACCCCGCTGACAACACGGCCTGGCTGAGACCCACCCCGGACACCCAACAGGGGCCCGCACATTCCCACGATACCACCAGCAACCACCGGACACCAGGAGCACTTCCTACAGCCGCTCAGAAATAAAAATACCTTCTTCTGGAATTATTAACTCAAAGTTAAGATCAAAACTGCAAATTACAAAATAATGCCATGGAGAAAAACACTGAACAAGGCACGTGGTCAAAGCTACAATCAGATGAAATGCCACAGAACTGAATGTCTCATCGTTAAACAAGAACACAGATACGTGAACTCATGCAAATCAAATCAAGGACAGGGAAAAAACTCTTTTTTAACACTTATTTATTTGCCTACATCAGGGGTCTTAGTTACGTCATGTGGGATCTTTCATCAGGGCACATGGATTCGCCAGTTGTGGCGTGCGGACTTCCAGAGTCACCACGCACGGACTTCCGGAGTCATGTGGCACACAGACTCAGCAGTGGCTGAGATGAAATGCAAACCCAGACATCTCCAGCATTGGGTTACATGCAGTTCGTCTAAAACTCCAATTGCTTAGAAGAGATCCGTAAGAAACCCACTTTAAACAGAAAGACAAGGAGAAATTAAACGTTAACAGGAAGGGGAATCCCTGGAGATCCAGTGGTGAAGAATCTGCTTGCCAACGCAGAGGACATGGGCTCAATCTCTGGTAAGGGAAGATTCCAAGTGCCAAGGGGCAACTAGGCCCTCAAGTCACAACTACTGAAGCCCGGGGGCCCTAGAGCCCATGGTCTGCAACAGGAGAAGCCCCCACTTGCCTGAATTAGGGAAAGCCCACGTGCAGAAGTGAAGACCCAACGCAACCGAAAACAAATAAATAATTAAAAAATAAAATATGAGGAAGGGAAGACATGCGCAGGTCACGAGAAGGCTGGAGGCAAGGACCGTCACCTGTGACAAAGGGACTCTTTGCAACCATAAAAGGACAGAAAAATCCTAAGTGCACAAACGTAACAACATGTGATAAACACATAAAGCAAGGACGGACATGAACAAAAGGCGAAACAGAATCATGCCTGGAGATTCCAACTCTCTCCTCCGGTCACTGCCTGATGGGACATGAAGCCCCCAAAGATGCACCCCACCCACAGCAACCTGAACTGACACGTGCGGTGCGCTGAGCGAACAGCAGAGAGCACAGGGAACACCTGGCAAGACCACACAGTGGACACAGAACAAGCCTCAATAAGCCTCGAAGGACTGCAGTCACACAGCGTGGTCTCGACCACACCAGAACGAGAAACCAGCACTCTGAAAAATACCCAGAACCACCCCACCAAACATGGGAACTAAACTACAAGCTTCCAGACAACCCACTGATGGAACAAGGATCCACCAGTAAAACAAAATATCTTAAAGAGAAGAAGACAACAGCATGTAATAAAGATGTGCACCGTGCAGCTAAAGTACTACTTAAAGAGGACTTATTAACTTTAAATGTTTATATTAAAATGAACAACAGTGTAAAAGAACTAATCTTCTACTTTATCTAGAAAGGAGAGAAAATTAAATTCAAAATAAACAGAAAAATAATAAAAGCAAGAAGAGACGTTACATAGAAAATAACTGGAGAAATCAATAAAAACCAAAAGCAGGTTTTTTAGAACATTAATAAAATTGATAAACTAGACCAACAAAGGGAAGAAAAACAGACAGACATTACTAAGAGCGGGAAACAAGAGGGGACATCACTACGGATCATACATACACGAAAGGACAACAAAGAAATATGAACGTGATGATAAAGTTAAAATTTAGAGAAAATTGACAAATTCCTTGAAAGTCACAAGTTGCCAAAACTGACACGAAATTAAACAGAAATCCTAAATACCTTACATATACACTGAAGAAGTTAAATTCATAATTAAAATCTTCCCACTAAGAAAACTCCAAGCCCAGATGGGTTCAGCAGTGAATCCATCAAAGACTTCATGACAAAATAATGCTAATCGTACAAAAATTGTTTCACAAGATAAAGGAGGGAACACTTCCCAACTCATATTTTTGACACCGGCCATTATTCTGATGCTGAAACAATAAAAACACAAGAAAATACACTGAAGAAAGTGCTAGATCCCTAGATCTTTATATACATAAAATACTCTCAAAACTGATTAAGACAAACCACCTCATTAAACCTGGGCCAATTATCTGAACGGACACCTAACAAAATACACAGAAACACCTTTAGTCGTTAGGGAAATGCCAACTAACACTAAAATAACACAGCCACTCACGGCTGAACAGAAAGACTGACACCACCACGGATGGGCAGAGCGTAGACACCAGGACCCTCATCCCGCACCCTAGCCAGGCCCCACTCTGCCTCCAGATTCCCGCGGGGCGCTTCCCACCCGCACCCCCATGCGAAGCCAGCGGGCGTGTAAGGGCAGCTGCTTCCGCCGCAAGACGATCTCACAGGCACTGGCCAGGCAGCGAGTCCCGACCACGCCCAGAGGTCCACCGAGAGCCCGAGGAGAGCCCCCACCTCACCGGGCGTCCCTGACCCCCGAGGCCCGGCCCTGCACGGGGAGGAACCAGGAGCAGGCTGACCGTCTCAGCAGACATCCTGGCAGAACATCATCCCCGAGACACGCAGGCCCCGCCAGGCTCTGCCCTGCTCCTCGGCTGACCCCGGATAAAGCCCTTACATGCAGAGGACGCGTGTGCGAGCTGTGCAGTGAGGAATGCATGAGCTCCAGCACACAGCACAGCCCCGAGCGGGCTGCCGGGCTCCGGCCCCTCTGCTCTCTGAGCGCAGAGCCCCGCAGGCAGCACCTCTCTGCAGGGAGGGCCTTAATAACCCCAGGCTCCAAGGGAACCATCATCACACCCCACAGAGAAAGAACATTCTTCACATGGACCTTACAGATGGTCACACTGTGAGCTTCTAAATGACAAAGGAGAAAACAGCATTCAAGAAGACACCCTCTTCTCTTAATCAAAACGCCTTCTAAAACTGAGATCTCCATGGATGCACACTGGGTGCCTGTGATAAAAACAACAAGAATTTATGAAGTGGGGCCGTGCGACATGGCCCCTTCGCAGCCCCCTCATCCTTCCGTCTGTACACGCAGGAGGAGCCCGTCTGTCCGAACCACAGCGGACAGTCTCCTGGGCCTCCGGCTGAGCCGCATTTCAGCGGGACACACAGGAAGGTGACGCTCTCGGGGAGAAGGGACCTGCACCCACAGGGCACCCCTGGAGCTTCAGGCCTCGGCAGGGCCCCCCAGGCTCACCTTGTTGACCCAGAAGACCATGGCATCCTCAAGGTCGTACGGGAGCTCTTTGGAGGCGCTGAAGGTGGAGAAGCGCTTGACGCTGGCCACCACCTTCTCAATGCTGATCATCTCCACGGTGTAGGCCATCATGAGGGCGTCCACCATCGCCATGTGGGCGCTCTGGGGGCAGAGGCAGCAATCGGTCACCCTCCCCTGCCCCGCAGCCCAGGGTCAGGTGAAAATCCTCCCCACACCCACACGGGAGCCCTCCTCGGGGTCACCTCAGCTTGGCCCCCCATCCTCCTCTCCAAGGACCCCATGAGAGCTCAGCCGTGGGAGAAGGCACGAGACAGGCCCGAGGCCGCGTGACTACTGCCAGCCCCGGGCATTCAGGGGTCTGCATGCTGAACTCAGGCCTTGAAGCCCTTTCTTCCCGGAACCGGGAACATCCTCCCAACCCAAAACACACCCAGCCAGGCCAAAAACCAGAAGATGCAAAACACCCGAGAATGGCCTGAGCTAAAGCACGTGGGAAGCGCCAGGAGGTGGGTTTGACCCGGAGCAGCCTGGCCTGGAAACGCCAGACTGGTGAACGGCTGCGGAGAAGGATGGGAGGGGGACGCTCAGGGGAGGAGAGGCGCGTCTATTTCTTTATTTTGGCACGAAAATTCTTAGAAGATACATGTGAAACACTCTCTGAGTGGGCCCAGCAACTCCATATCGCCACCTCTAAACGCAACTCGGTTTCCCGCGGTCGGGTGGGGCAGCGCTGCCCCGGGGACAGGCCAGGAAAGCAGCCCCCACCCTGTTCCAGCCCAGCCACATCTCGCCGAGAGAAGGTGGTCTCAGGCCTTAAGTTTCGGGGCAACTCCGCCGCGCTGCAGGGGCACAGCGGCCGCCCCCCACCGCCCAAGCCACTCACCATCTTGATGGGCGCATGGCTGAGGTCGGGCTCCGTCACGGGGGTGTCGTCACTCTCCATCACGTAAATCCCTTTCCGGGACAGAGCCTGGATGACGGACTGGTGTCCCTGCAGGGCGGCCACCTGGTCCCCTTTGAGGATGAGGCTGCACACGCGGCAGTACAGCTCGCTGGACAGCAGGAGCTTGATGACCGGAGGCTTGATGTGCTCCTGCTCATACTGGTCGATGTAGAAGGGGTCCCTGAGGTCCTCGGGGATGTCATCTGCAGCGACAGGAGACCCCCGCATGTGGGCGTTACACCCAAATGCAGCCGCACCGGCCACTCGCAGCCGCTTCCCGCCTCCTGGAGCTGCTGGTGGGATGGTGGCCTGAGGACGCCGAGCTGGGGACACAGGTGTGGGGACGGCCGTCTGCAGGGTGAGGTCTGCAGGGACAGCCTTCATTCACCAGGAGTGTCAGGAGCCAGGGCTGCCACACCACAGCGATCCAGGCTCAGGACTCCGGAGTGGCCACAGGAAAAGCCACAGAGAATGAGAAGATTTGGACAAGCCTGTAGTTAACACAGGGCCACACTCAACGCAGGAGGATCAGAGCTCAAGGCCTCGTGTAAGCTGGACCACGTGTGGGCCTAAAGCAGGACCCGAGCATGGCGGCCTGGCCTTGGCTGGGCGCACCGCTCACGGCCAGTCAGAACCTCACCTTGAGTGCAAATCACAGACACTATGAAGGCTGATCTCCTAGGGTCGGGTGAGGATTAAATCATAACACGCACATAAGTCACGGCGCTGAGAGCCTGGAGCTCCACAAAATTCACACAAGTATAGGTTATCAATCCTATTATCAACCAGGCTAAAAAGACAGTCAAGGAAGTGCCTTCCTGGTGCTGTGCGCCACGCTCTGCCTGTCCTGTCAACCGAGGCTGCCCCGCTAGCCTGGGGTAGAGCAGTGAAGACCTGGAGCATGCGGGGGCCGAGACTCCCAGGAGGTGCCCACCCAGGCGGAGGAAAACGCAGGCTACGGGCCCCCATGACGCAGCAGGACAGAAAGCCTTGAAACACACCGCGGAGTCCAGCCCCGCCCCAGACCAAGCAGATCAGAATGCCCTGCCAGCAACAGCATTTGTTCCGCTGAGAATCGCTACATCAGAGACTCCGGAGGTGGCTGACAGTCTCCACCGAGAACTCACTCACTTCTTCACGCTAGTCATGGCAACAAGCACTCAGAGGTCTTCTCATTCTGGACCCCCGTGCGCCCCACCCTTCACTGGAGACATCGGACGGGAGAGAAAGAAAGCGGGGGCAGAGCCCAGTGCCCCTCCCTGCCCCACCAAACAAGGCCCAGGGACAGAACCAGCTCCCTGCCTGCAGGCGCAGGCAGTTCAGGAGTGAGGCCCTGGCCTGCCAGCCGAGGGGAAGCCAGCAGGAGCGGAGAACCCAGGACAGGAGGGAGCCTCAAAGGGGACCCTCGTTCACGGATGAGCCCCTCCTGTGTCAAGTGCGAGCAGGACAGACCCGAAGAACCGAAATGACCTCGGAACCCACGGCCTACAGACAGCAAACAGATGTCTGTTCTGGAACCTAATGGGGTTTACTGCAACCCCCAGAAACACCAACATCCTCCAGAGGATTTTAGCGGGACCCAGAAAACAGCCTCACATTATTCAAACTGTCCAGGACCCAATCCGTATTTACTCAACATAAAAAGACAGGAAAATGTGACCAATTCTCAGGGGGAAACAGACACCAACTCTGAGATGACCCAGATGAGAGAATCACCAAGGACTTCAAAGCATCTATAATAACAAGGCTCCATGAAGCCCTCCTGAAACAAATGGAAAGAACAGAAGTTATTAACAGAGAAATAAAACTTATTTTAAAAAAAAACAACCTTCAGGATTTCCCTGGTGGCCTGTGGTTAAGAATCCACCTGCCAATGCAGGGGATGAGAGCTGGATCCCTGGTCTAGGAAGACAGCACACACTGTGGGGCAACTGCACCCATGTGTCACAAGCGCAAAAGCCCACGTGCTCCAGAGCCCACACCGCAACCAAGAGGAGCCCCCACTTGCCGTAGCGAGAGAAAACCCGAGCACAGCAACAGAGACCCAGCACAGCCATGAACAAAGGTACAAACACATTTTAAAAGCTTTAAAAAGAAAAAAAACAAACCTTCAGAACTGCAAAATCTAGTTACCAACAGGAAGTTCAATGACAGATTCAAAAGATGAACAAAGCAGAAGCACACTCACAGATACGGAGAAGAAACCAGTGGCGACCAGTGGGAGGGTGGGGGCAGCAGCATAAAGGCGGGGGAGCGGGGTTACAAACAAAAATACACTGGGTACAAAGCAGGCTCAAGGACATCCTGTACAACCCAGGGAATGTGGCAATGTTTTGTAATAACTATAAATGGAAAGTAACCTCTAAAAATTGTATAAAAATAAATCAAAAATTAAGTTAAATTAAAAAAATACAAACAAAACAGAGAAAACAATCAGTGAACCTGAAGACAGATCCACAAAAATAATCCATCTGCAGAGCAGAGAGAAAGACGATGGACTGAAAAGCAGAGACCCAGTGACCGCTGCCACCAAGGGGAGCCTGGGGCAGGAAAAACATTTGAGTAAATGGTGCCCGGAACCTCCCGACATCTGATAACACACCAATTTACGGGCTCAGGAAGCCCAGCAAACCCAAACAGAACCAACTTGAAGAAAACCAGGCCCACACACTTCCTAATCAAACTGCTGAAAGCCAAAGAAGTAACGGGCCCGGGGGACCCCTGAGTGGAGGCATCAGCCAGACCTCCGATGGCTACACTTAAGGAAAGGAAACAGGACAGAATTAAGAATTCTGGCAGAAAAATGGAAATTATTTTTAGAGAGAGAGAGAAAAGAACTTGGCAGATTAGGAAAAGAACCAAGAAGAAATTCCAGAACAGAAATACACAGTGACTGAACGGACACCCTGGACGGCTGAGCAGCACCTCATACGCAGAGGAGAGAAAGGACCGCGGAGAAGGCTAGTGAGAAGCACTGCCGGCGCCCCAGGAAGAGAGGGGAGAGAGCAAAGGGCAGAGACAGGACTTCAGCAGCAGTGGGCGAGAATTTCCCAACACCTGTAAAATCACGCCTCCCCCAGCAGGACTTAAACAAAGCAGCAGCAATCTACAGACCAAAGAACTTCCCTGTAATACGCGTAAAATCCCAAGACGGAGGAGAATCTTGTAAAGAGACCAGAAGGGGCCCTCTGGCCGGGACAAGACGGCATGGACCAGCCTCTCCCTGCTGCTCTCCGCTGGGCACAACCACAAACCCTGCTGCCCACCCCAAGGAGAACCCACAGAGAGCTGGGGAAGGTGGACGACGACCCCAGACTGGACGGGCCCAGCAACGGCGTGTCTTACCACCTCCCACCCAGCGAAGGCGACCCAGGCCTGGGGCTCCCCGACCCCCAGCCTGGAAACAGAAAGCGAGTCAAGCAGGCTCGTTCCTGCAGCACAGGGGAGGCCAGGGGAGTCCCACCTACTGGCCAGGCCATCCTGGCAGAACCAGCAAGGGGTAGGAAGGGAGCCCCACGGACAGGCAGCCTGCCACCCACCTCCACCAGGCACCCAACCTGGAAGCGCCTCTCCCCCCCCACCCGCCGGAGACACCCCCTCGTCAGCCTGCACAAGGGGAGCCCAGCGGTGGGCCCCCACGACGACAAGCAGCCGGGGAAACACTCTCAGAGGTGTGGGGTAGCCTGCCACAACACGCACCCGGCTTGGACACTCCTCATCCTTGGGGAGAGAAGCCCACCTTGCCCAGAGGCACCAGGCCATCAGCCCCAGGCGCCACCCCCCGCCTCCGAAAGCAGAACCAGCAGGTGCAGTGGGAACCCCAGACGCACCACGCAACGGTGCCACAAAGGCTCTGGAGATAAACTGGCACTGGGACCACAGTCGACACAGCAGGCCGGGACCTGCATGCTGAGCCTGAGCAGGGAGACTGCCCACTACGATAAAAGAAAAACCAGTAGCACCTAGAGTCCCTAACGTAACAGCCAAAATGACCAGGAAACGATCAAAGATCGCCTATCAAACCCAGAACCAAGCAAATCAAGACTTCAGTGAGAAAGGAGGACCCACTGACACCAGACCAAGGTGAGTCTGATGCTGGAGCTGTCTGACCAAGGACTGCACAACAACCGTCTGAAAAAACAGGACGAGGAGCAACCACAAGTTCTCCTGAAACAAACGAAAATTTAAAAAAATCCCAACATAGGAGTTATAAAAAGAACCAGACAAGGAACTGAAAAATAGAGTAACAAATTTTAAAACTCACTAAATAGTCTCAGGGCTTCCCTGGTGGCTCAGATGTTAAAGAATCTGCCTGCAATGCGGGAGACCTGGGTTCTATCCCTGGGTCAGGATCGACCTGGACGAGGGCATGGCAACCCACTCCAGTATTCTTGCCTGAAGAATCCCCATGGACAGAGGAGCCTGGCGGGCTGCGAGCCATGGGGTCACAGAGAGTCAGACACGACTGGGTGACTAAGAACAGCACAAACAGCCTCAATAGTTTAACTGGATAACAGAGCATAGGGTCACAGAGAAAATACACAGAAAAAACAAAATGAGTAGTCTCAGGGACCTGTGGAAGAATAAGAAGAGATCCAGTATTTGCATCTCTGGAGTCTCAGAAAAGAATGTGAGCAGGGCTGAAACAGTATGTAAGGAAACAATAGCTGAAAACTTCCCAAACATGGCAAACAATATAAACTCACGGATTTCAAGACACTGAATGAACTCCAAATAGAATAAACCCAAAGATATCCACACCAAGACACTGCATAATCGGACTTATGAAAACTCAAGACAAAATATTCTGGAGCAGCTGGAAAGAAAGAGAATGCAACTCAATGAGCAGTGTTTCTCCTCCGAGCCATGGAGGCGGGGAAGCAGCAGCCCTTACACATGCTTGAGGAAAGGAACATCCATACCTGGCAAGACTACCCCTAAGGAACTGAAGGAGAAATAAAGACACTCTCAGACAAAAGAAACTTAGGGGGCAGAAAAAATGCCTCTAGCAAACCTTAAAAGACTGGCTAAAGGAAATTCTCCAAATAGAAAGAAAATGATTTAAAAAAAATGAACCCTGGAGAACCAGGAAGAAAAAATAATGTTAGAAACAGGTAATATGAGTAAATACAATAGACTACCCTTCTCCTCGTGAGTTTTCTAAATTACATCCGATGAGACAAAATCCACACCTTTAGGTGCT